GTCAGACTTTACATAGTATTATTACGTTATAGTCGAATGCTCTACCACTACGCCACCCAATGCCAACTAGGCCTTTAAGGGTCTTTCATCTATATATTATTACAAATGTACAATGAAGTACCCCAGTATAGAGCCATTAAGCCAATTTCACTACAGGTTTCTCCATGTGCTCATCTTCTTCTACCATACATTTAACATCTTTATATACGTAAACCTACAAAAATATTTGGGTACACAGCTACAAATTTTGGTGCACTAAGGTGCACATGCACCCAGTATTTCATTAGCCCAGCATCTGATGCAGCAGTAGATACATTTTTGTACATAAGGTATGATAAAGTCACTGACTGTACTATTATTATAATGATGAATTAATAATATATATAAATAAATGGTTATTAATTGGTCAAAAAGCATTACCCATGCAATCGGAGCTTTTTATACATTTGTAGTGCTGAATTGATGCTGGGTTTACAATCACATACACAAATGTATTATGTAATACATATAACATATTTGCTCCACACACTTTTGTGGAACTGTCGCAAGGGTCTGTGCGGCTGCCATTCGGCGCCACAAGGTGATCTCAACACGACTTTCCCCAACCAAGGTTAGGTACCCATACTGTAAACCTTGGCGGAGTGAGGAAAGTCGTGTAAAGTGCCTTTCCCAAGGGCACAATGTCGGAGAACATATCAAGAAATGTCCCAGGTACAGCTCGGGATCAATCCCGTGTCTCCCCGTTTCACAGTCGAATGCTCTACCACTACATCACCCAACGCCAACTAGGCCATTAAAGGGCCTTTCATCCATATATTACAAATGTACAATGTAGTACCCCAGTATAGAAGTAAAATACAATTAATACACCAAATTACTGGCTATTAATGGCTCACAGTTGATGAAAGTTTTTTTAGTTATGTAGCATGAATTATTTGTACATGTTTGTTCATGGCCTGATAGGCCACTACAAATACCAAATCATCATCTTGATCCAGTGAAAACTAATTCTGAAGACAGATGCTATGTACAGTATTTACAGGTTCATAGTACTCTGGAACTTCCCATAGCTCTTGAGGACCAAAGTACAATGAACTGTGGACCATGGCTTCACATCCTGTCCTTTTAGGCCTGTAAACCTTTCCAGCAGTGTGCATGTTGAGTGAGGGACTACAGTCAGGATTCAAACTCCTGAATGTATGTCCGGGGTCACTTTATATGTGTAGGATACACAGTGACTGTCACGGCCTTCTTGATGCTTCCAACCTAGAAGGTCACTATGATGATGATGATGATGATGATTAAACTTACAAAACCTTCTCTGACAACAGGTGGTGACAGGAACAGGCAGTACCCAGGGTGCAACTCTGTCTGGCCGGTGTTCCGAATCCAAGATGGCGGCCGTCAGTGGATAGGATGGAGTTACAGGTTTGGGTGAGTTTCATCCTTGGGAGATTTGCTAAAAAAATTGGCATCATTTTTTGTGTTAAAAAATGTCACGTTTTGGGGTCAATACGTCACATGTTTTGGGTCAATACGTCACTTAAGCCAAGTGTCAACGTCATGTATGACATAAGGGGTGGATATGTTACTTACATGCCATGCTATTCTTAATCTTCTTTTCTGTATTTCTTGAATTATTCCTGATTCAGACTCAACTTTTCCTCCCAGCCTCAGCTGTTTATCGTACTCTTGCTGCATTTGTATTTAAGAATTGGGGCCTGCATGCCCTTTTTCGTAAGGCGTAAATCAGGCTATTTTAGTCTTCGTTATCCATAGGCAGTCACCCCACAGATTAACGTAAGTCATAATGTTCATTAGCCACAATGCGTAAAGTCATAATCAGCTCTGAGAACATAATTCGCGAAAATTTTGCGTAATTCGTAACCACTACCCCCCATGCAGGCCCTCAAGAATGTCTGAAAATCACAGCAATATTGATGAATTGGGGTGTCCCTAATATTTGGGCAAGATGGTTACAAACTTCCCGTGAGTGACCACAAGCTGCCCCTCCCCACCTGTAGCAACATGTGTGGGTCCATTAATGTAATAAGCTACGGTGCGGATATACTCTCCCTCAGCTGTGAACATCTCCACCCGACTGTTGAAGGGATCAGCCACAATCACACGCCCCAAACTGTCCACACAGATTCCTGAGGGGAAATAAAGATTCCCTGGTCCAGTACCTTTGCTGCCAAAACTGGACAGCTGGTCTCCGTTCTCACCATACTTTAGAATACGAGAGGCCCTCTTGTCTATGACATAGATGTTCCCTTTTGTGTCTACGGTTACAGACTGTTGAATACATTGTTTTCTAAACCCTGTTGCTGACAACTTGTTCATTTTACATGTTTGTCTCTGTGAGTAAGTTAACCACACAATCTCTACCTCTCTGGGCCGACTTGTCTCTATTGCCAGTATGATTCTGTCAGAAAGCTCGTCCCAGGCAATCCCATAGATATCTGTAACCCTGCATGTACTAAACTTAGCAAGGTCAATGCCCTCTTTGCTGTACTGTTGGATGTCATATTTTTTTGTCATAGCTGTGTACAACAAACAGACCCACAGGGTATCGTTGCGGCCTATGGATATGGAAACTGGCATGTTTCCTGTGGGGAAACTGCGTAGGAAAACTCCCTTCATGCTGAAGACCTGGATTCTTTTGTTGATCTGGTCAGCCACAAATATCTCGTTAGTCGAGGACACGGCCAGGCCACCCATTTCCCAAGGCCTGGGGCCTCTTTCCTTCCAGCTAAGGGTGACATTCTTTTTCACTTCTGCGGGTAAAATAGAGTCAAACACTCAGTGGGTCCATGTTTCATACTATAACGTGATAATAGATGCTATTAGTACTATAGGTAGATCAATAGATAAATCGATAGACAGACAGATAGACAGATAGATAGAGTCAAATGTACTAGGATAGGTACTAGGTAGATAGCATAAACATATACTCTATCAGATAAACAAGTAAATTAGAAAGTATTACTAAATCTAAGAAAATCCCATATCAAGCATGACCATTTTCTGACAGTTTAGCACTTCAAAATTAGGAAAAGTTGTAGATAGTATCGTTTCGAGATGAAGATATGTAAGCCCTCATACTACATCGTATGTCAAACAACAATTTACCACTGAAAAAAGACATAAAACTTACACTGTTAATTGGCCACAGTTGTTTAGGTCCAGGTCCTGAACCTTAACCACTGTACCTTACCTGACAGGGCTCGAAATTCATTTTTGGGAATAGGTGCACCTAACCTAGAAAATTAGGTGCCCAAAATTTTTGGGTGCACCATATAAAACAAAATATACTTTATTTTATTAGAGATCTTACTATGTCTCTTCTGAGCTTGAATCTAAAATCGGAGCTAACTTCAAAATCTTAAGCAACTACTAGTACTACAAGAAAGATTCTATTATTTTTCTGACACTTAGATGCCAAGAATATCCTGTATAACTATTGTACATCTAGATCTGATATTATGTTAAAAAATACCTACAAAAATATTTGGGTGCACCAGTGCACCAACAGAAAATATGGGTGCACAGCTCCAATTTTGGGTGCACTAATTTGCACATGCACCCAGTATTTTGAGCCCTGCCTGATAACTTTAAGTAACAGATCGCTATCAAAAGAAGAGAAGTAGATATTTGTACCCACCTTCACAGTGGTATGTTACTTCCAGGTACCTCTTTATGCCCGGTCTAAGGTAAGTCATGATAAATGATGATAATTTATTTAGGTACCAGTCACACTGCTGCAACCCCTGACATAGCTGCCTTACTTTGGTCAGGGCTAACCTGTTAGAAAATATGAGAGGCATGTTAAAACCGTCAGTTATTATGTTTACCGAAGGAAAACATGATATTGTTTTTCCTCCATTTCTTCTTCTGTTCCAAACACTAACCTCTGACCTGGCCAATGGCCTCTTTTGTTGACGTCTGTCACCATAGTAACTGGTGTTGGGTTACATAATGTTGCAATCTCATAGTGATAGTAGGCATTTAGACTCCTGTCACCATATACATGTATGTAAATGTGTTTGAGTAAGAATTAACAAAGCAGACCATATCCGAAGGTAAACATTATCCATTTGCTTTGCAAGTGTTACTTTTCTTGTTGTAATTGGATTAAGCCAATTTTAATCAAATGCCATATTAATACATGTAGCTTGAGGAATAATTGATGTAAAATCAGACAGCTGTGAATTTTACAAGTGTCATAGTACATACACAATTTTCTGCAATTAATATCTATAACTGTATGATACAAGACATCTACAAGTGCAACATGTACTGTAAGGCCACCCCAATTTAATTTGTTGTTTTTTAAATTTTTTTCAGAAAAAATATGCCCAGCGACAGGGCAAAATAATAAAAAAAAAACAGGCCAAGGCACCCCATGATAGCCGGAAATGTTACAATATGAGCCATGAAGTGAACATACCCGGTTGGGATATATTGACACGTGTCACAAGACTCGAACGTACATCCACAGCGAGAACCGTTTTCCCGACCGCAGAATGTATCGTCGATCACGATCAGCTCGTTCGCTGCACAAGACAGTCGGATGTTCTCCTTCTCACAGAACATTTCTGCATCAATGATAGCATCTTACCTTTAGGCCACACCAAGCTAATTATTGGTTCTCAGATTCGTTTAGAAAAATATAAAGCAACATCGTGATTGTGAAAAAAAGTAAAAAAAATACTATGACAACCAACCTCA